ACGACTTGTGACCAGTCATCAGATGATCTGAAATAACTGAACCATACTAACTTAGTAATTCCATTGAAGTGTTACAATTAAAAAACTAATTGTTTGTTTGTCTCAGAACTATTTTTTCTTAAAATAAAACCAATCAATAAAATTGATCAATAATTTCCACTACAGTTTCATATACTAAACTGTTTGCTGCGTTTCTGTTGACGAAGGTGATAAGAGAGTGAAATAATGCTGCCATCATAAACTAATCTATTTTTCCAGAACATGGTTATCCCTAAACTACAAGATTATAAATGATACATTCTGTTATTAATTTGTTATAACTTGTGCCCTGTGTCCTTATTAATGTATAACGTAATGATACCGCCAATTAGAGAACAGGGGATTATCGACCGGATCAATGACGCATAAAACAAGTACGAGAAGTCTTTTTATTTTATTTCAACACATAGATAATGGTACAAAGAGGCACCAAATACATGTGCGCCACACAAATCTTATTCGATATGTGTGAGGGCTATGATACTGCCCGGGTGCCCAGACCGAAGAAGTCTAGAGTCCTTATCGGTCCTGCTTCCTCCTTAGCCTCACCCGTTAAGTTCAGAACACCAATCTCAACCTCTGGGATATGAATCATTTATTTCAAACATACTGGGTTTATATATCAACCAAACAGACCACATTGTACTATGAAATAGGAAACAATATTTGTACAAGGTTTAGCCAAATGTGACTGTGAATGTGGGAGATAGTAATTGATATACTGGGTATAACTCAAGAATGATGAATCGTATAATAATAATTTTTCATTGGTCAAAATAAAGCTTATGATAAGGGGCCACGAATATGAATAATTTAGTTACTTAACAATTATACGATAAAAAGATACGTATAGTATTGGTTGATAAATGGATCCCACAAGTTACCATTCATTATTCCCACCGGAATATAACATAATAAAGGTTTCTCGATGTTAGAATAGGTGAATGGCAAATTGAACCAACTCACATTTTGTGTCAGACTTCATTTTGAATATGACTTACCAACTGATGATTGAGTTTCACATTTTTAAAATAAATAAATTCAATTATGATTGATAGATGCTTTGCAATGATACAATATGTCCTAGTAATAACTGCTCATAAGACCAAATTATTAATATTATCCCATATGGACTGATAATAGAAAACAAGTTATCCGCCCAGAAAAATAGGGTTTTTTATATAGTAAAATAACATGCTATTGTGCAAATTATTAACATAGTAATAATCATGATTAGACGTCTTATGCGTTCGGAGGAAAGCAGTTTATCGGTAACACAATCATTCATACTCTTCATATTTATCTAAATACATTTTTTTACAGGAATACTATTGGCGAGACAGTTTCTGACTTAAATAACCACAAGCAACATCTGAGAATTTGTTGTGAATAGATTAGAAAACTTGAAAAGTTCATTAAGGTTTAAATGACTTCGGTAGTAAGGAACAAAATGTTTGTTTGGCCAGTTTGTTATAATCATTTATAAAATATTTCTATTTAAGGTATATAGGGAGTCATTTTGAGCATAGCAAATGACGTCTCCTAGATAGACTAAATGGGATAATGACATGATTACAATCTATAACAATATATAACAACTAAACTTCATATTTCCTAATGAATTCAAACATCTCTTACATATTTCTCATCAAGTAATAATTGTAAAGCCTCGTTTTATGTATAAAGCCAGTGTGTACATATACGGAAGTTTTACAGCATATGATATGCACAATATTTCCCATTCCAATTTTTCTTAACAGAACTGTTTGACTGTTCCGCTTTAAGTTATTGATTTAAACGAGTGACATTTAACTAACGGGGCGGTACTTGTAAATTCTATTCCACATATTTTAATTTGAGCAGCTGGTTAGTATTCCAATAAGTTCCACAGTTTGAAACCTTGGAACGGATATTATGAAAGTTGGAACTGGTTTTTTGGATTATTATTAATTATGATTTTCAGTATGGGGATTTGTAGAAATTGTAGTAAGTTTAACACTTGAATTCATGAGTCGATCTGATCTAGATCACCATTGAAAACCCGGAAGTACTGGACATCCGTTCCGTCCTATAATGAGACTCCTCATTAGTATGTATTCACAATTCCGCATGCGGGACTCGAAACTCGAACCTCTGGTCTCGCGCACAAACGCTTAACCTCCAGACCACTGAACCCGGTATCGAACGGTGTTGGTTTCTAACTTCAATCGATCCATGATCTTGTGCAACCGTTCATTTCTTGTCTGAGTTGGATAACTATCTCACATACGACACGGATTGCCAAAGACATAGAGTTCATACAACCACCTTTCTCCATTGTTCCATTCGAGTAGTGGGGTTAGGCAGGGTTGCCCAATCTCACCATTCCTCTTCAACTTTGCCATCGATGACATTCTGGAAACAGCTCTGATGAATGTAAGTAATGGCGGTGTGGATCTGTTGCCTGGAGAAAGACTTCTCGACCTTGAGTATGCGGACGATATTGTCTTACTGTGCGATAATGCCCAAGGCATGCAATCCGCACTTAATCAGTTGGCAATCAATGTCCGTAGGTATGGTATGTGCTTTGCACCTTCGAAGTGCAAAGTACTTCTACAAGACTGGCAGGATTCCAATCCTGTACTCACCCTGGATGGTGAGCAGATAGACGTAGTCGAGAAGTTCGTGTACCTGGGTAGCTGCATAAGTGCTGGTGGGGGTGTGAGTGATGAGATCAATGCACGTATAGTGAAAGCCAGAGCGGCTTATGCCAATCTGGGCCATCTTTGGCGCCTTCGTGATGTTAGTCTGGCCGTAAAAGGTCGGATCTACAACGCGTCGGTGAGAGCAGTTTTGCTCTATGCTTGTGAAACCTGGCCTCTCCGAGTTGAGGACGTTAGACGACTCTCTGTGTTCGATCATCGCTGTCTGCGAAGGATTGCTGACATTCAGTGGCAACACCATGTCAGTAATGCAGAGGTTCGGCATCGTGTGTTCGGGCACAGAGATGATAATCCAATTGGTGTCACCATCTTGAAACACCGACTTCGGTGGCTTGGACATGTTCTCCGAATGTCGTCCCAGAGGGTTCCACGTCGTGCATTATTTGCCGACTCTGGGACTGGTTGGAAAAAGCGGAGAGGTAGTCAGTGCATGACATGGTGTCGTGGCATGAAAGAAAGCTGCAAAGGACTGGCTTGTGTTGGTCCTTCACGACTCCCTGATTGGGGTCTGAGAGATGGTGCTATACAGTGGCTAGAGACGTTATCAGATATGGCTCAGAATAGAAGCCAGTGGCGATGCTGCTGTAACCTTCTTTTACTTTCTTCATAAAAAGTGGTTCTGTCTCCCTTACCTGAAAGATTTCTTCCGATTGTACATTTGCGTTCCCTGATTATTAGCACATTACCTTACACCAATCTCTTCGTTATTGTTCTCTCTTTTTTTTGTTGTTGCGCTCCTTAGTTTTTTTTTTTGTATTCCTCTCGAATTTTCATTGTTTTGTGTGGCGCATATATATTGGCGCTCTCTTGTACCAATATTCATGTGTCCAAATAAATAAATAAATAAATACACGGATTGGACTCCACTGATAATTATAATTTTATTGCATGATTACTAAGGAACTAGATTACTATGTAAATATATATCCCATTCATCATGAGTTTCCGGTTTACTCATTAACTACTGTTATACGATTTATTATTGTTGCTAATTTATTATTTACTTTCTTTTGACAGTCATTTTCGGCTCGCTGACGTATAATTGTTATTTTTCACTTGATGGTGTGGTGTGGCCTGTTATGTCTGTTTATTAACCATGTTTGCTTGAAACATAGATGTAGTAGAGACTGATTGTTACTTCTGGACTCAAGACAGGGTATAGAGAAGAGCTAGCGAATATTGGGTTATTAGGAACTTAGCTGGCAGCTCAAGGCTAATAGTGCTGGGTGTGATTAGTCTAGTCAAAAACACCAAGCTCTAGAATAATTAGTAGATGCAAATTCAATGAAATTAAAATCAGAATTGTTGTTGGTGACTTGATACATGATTTTGGTCAGTGGTCACAAGTCATAATAGATTTGAACCCCGAATCTACTATACTTCGATATGGACCACTGAATGATATTAAAATAATTAACGTGATATTTATTATTTTCAAAGTTGAATTCACGAGTTGAAACCATCATTGATGACCTAGAATCACTGGACTCGTGGATTCAACTTTAAAGATACCACAATCTCCACAAATCCCTATCCCCCCAAATCCCCTGGTACGGCCGAGAGTGGGGAGAGTCCACTCTCCCTCTCGAAATGCTCTCACGCGTATATAGTCTCTGCCAAGAGAGTCCTACTCATCGCCTTCTCGTGGCGGGAGGTGTTGTTCACGAAAATGAGAGGACGAAAAGCGCATTTCCGGCGCTTTAACCGGGTCGGTGGACGTGGAGAGTCTACCTAGGGGAATTTGAAAACCTTGATTCCAAACCAATGGTGAACATGGGCTTCAGTATCCTAAAGGAACAAATGGCGTACGAACCAATTGTTGGTCACCGGCTACCATGGGACTGCATCTCCTCACGATGCTCCACTGCCTTGTGGATCAGACTTTTAGGTCGAACGCTCCGAGTGTGGCCCCCTATGAAAACCACCTACTTCGGTTTGGGCACCCGAGCAGTATCACAGCCCTCACACATATCAAATGAGATTTGTGTGGCGCATATGTATTTGTTGCCTCCTTGTACCAATATCTATGTGTTAAAATAAAATAAATAAATAAATACACATCCCTATAGTGATAATATTTATTAATAATAAAGTGTTCATAGTGTTAAATCTTAATTTTTTTCTATTCTTTTCTAGGTAATTTTTATCAATTTATTATACTGATTATGACAAAAATATAGATTATTAATTTACAAATTAAACAAAATACACTAATGTTGTCCTTATCAAATACACATAGGTAATCCATATTCAATTTCAATGAATGGAATTAAGTTTAATTCAGATCAAAATGGTAATCAGTATAATGATAATAATAATTACATAGGACTATTGAATAATCATGCTACATTATTTCCTGTTAATTATAATAATACAAATTTATTAAATTTTGAACATATTTCTGATAACATTAATGAAGTTAATGTAGGACCATTATTAAAACAATTACATTGTGTTATTGGAGAATTAGTTGAATCAGAATCAGTTTATTTAAAAAGTTTATGTGATATTGAAGAGGTAAGTTATCATTGTGATATTTTGTTGTTGTTATTGTTTAATTGAACTTATATGTGATGATTTTTTCTTTCGAAAGAGAATTCTTTCTGTTGTAGTCTGGTACGTGTTTCTGACATTGTTTGGAATAGTCAGTCAGTAACAACGTAGAACTTCGTACGTACGTAGATCAATTCGAGTTGCCATACCACATTAGCACAGAGATGCAGTTGTCCATTCAAATCTCATAGTGGTAGAGGTAGTAAGAGTATAAGCAGTAATCGGAAAGATTAGGGTTTGAAGATGTTATTCAAGGAGTATAATCCAGTGAAATAAATTTGGAAAGAGAAACTAGAAAGGGATATGAAGAATTCAGAAAATTAGAATTTGGGAGAACACAAGAAGTGGATGCACCTGTGCCATTGCAAACGATTTTGAGCCACGTAATTCAAGATCTCTAACCATCGGTTGCTATCACCTCGCGGTCCCCAACCAGGTAGTCTACACCTACCAACATGACTCAGTCTACTTGTCAGTGACCATGGATTTGTGCCATGTTTTGGTCTGGCCGCCCCTAGCTCTCTTCAAACCTACTCCTATACCATTGAACATCGCACGTCTGGGCAGTCGGTGGTTGGGCATACGTTTCACTACTTCATCAATTGATTTGCCATCCTTACCTGGTACCCGTTTTCTAACAATTGCGCTTGGAATAGTATAGCTCTATATATAACAGTTTTCAATACTTGACTGATTCCATCTATGGAGAGAGAGAGAGAGAGAGAGAGAAAGGATAAAGACTGTGGTGTATCAATGTTTATTTCTGAAAGCTGATTAATAATGTTTACTGCTTTTGTATATTTTTAGACTGAAAAAAATTACGAGTAATAAGTAACGCTGACTGAATAAATAATTCATTGTTTTTATTCAAGTATTCTATAAATGATACTGGCCGAAGAAAATCATTTTGAAATCAATTATGTAATCGTCATTCACATACAATCAAATAATTCAGGTTTATTGATACAAGTATAGAAAAATTAAACTGGAATTACAGATTTTAACTACTTGTAAAACTTTTCGTTTTGTTTTTTTCCTACATAGCTAAATATTCATCAAGTAATATATTAGGAGTTATCATTAAAAATATCTGATGAAATAAACTTATCAGAGTTTCTCTGAGACCACTTTCAAATAGTATCATATATAAATTCTAGAGATTGATTTCCGTTATTCAGAATTTGTATCCAATAGATCTATAATTTCAAGTATATATTGTACTTAAAAGTTAATAATGATGATGACTTTGACCATTGTAAGATTGTAATGTCAGTTTAATGAGGTTATCAATTTTACCACAGTTTAGTAAATGTTATACATCACATCACCTATTTGCTAACTTGCCTGGAATCCCAAGATTTAATGTGATGTAAGTAAACTTAACAGAATGCAATAAACTTTGTAAGTATAGTGTTATAGGGATCGTCGAATTTCATTGAAATCTTGGAAGCACTGGATAGCCGTCTTGTCCTGGTTTTGGACTTCTTGAAAGTCTGTATCCACAACCCCACATTGAAGAATTGAACTCAGGTCCTTTGGTCTCACATAAATAACCCAATACTTTCTATTATCATGTGTTCACTGGTGACTGGCTTCGAGAGGAGATTCTCAGAGTTCTAGTTAAAAGCCGTGACCAATGGAGTTCAACAGTGTCAAATGAGAGGCAGTTACCCACCGAAGATAACGGAAGATGATCGTGCAATGTTGAGAATTAATTGAAGTTAGATATCGACATCATTGGATCCTGGCTCAGTGGTTTGGGTGTTAAGCGCTCGCGCTTGATTTAGGCTCCTGTGTTCGATTACCGCTTTCAGGATCATCGATAGTTATTGCAACTTGTGAGATAGCTCAACAGGTATCTGGTTATATTTATTCAATAGTTGAGCTGTTGTCAATTACGTCATTACAATTTCTAATTAGTTTATGTCTTCTAAATTTTATATCTCTAGTCTCTCTATAAAGTTAAATCACTGTATGCGTATGTGTATTTCCAATTAATCATGTTTATGCGTTAAGATATTCTTAAGATGTTAATATTATATAGTTTTCATCATGGACTGACCACATTAACTGAAGAGTTAAGATTTAAGACGGTGTTTCACAGTGATCTTAATATCTTTCAATCAGTAATTTTGGATGTAAAATAGTATGTTTCCCCGGGTCTATTTTTCAATAGTCCTCAAGATGATATCAACTTGTAATGAAGAATAAATTCAAATCTATCAATCTATACCAATACCCTCTATTTTGATCATTTATGTTTCGTTGAGATTGAATGATTCAAACGATAAACTGTTTGATCAAATCAAACCATACAGTTGATCATGATGTTTACAAGTATAAATAGTCGAAAATGAATCTTATTTATTCTATCTGGGTACATTACAAAGGTTAAATTAACTTGAACTAATGGTTCATCTAGTATCCACGGCTCCAAGTATTATTGTTTATTATCCTAATGTGTTTAATTTGTAGATTTACATTTATCGACATTTAAAAGTAAATGATTTATAGTTTAATTTATAAGCAAAAGATATTCAAGTCAGAAATGAAATTAATTGTACATTTTTATTGTTTTTGATCATATGGATCATAAAAATTCTTATCTGATCTAAAGATTTTACTTCCCAATTAATCCATCGATTAACTTAATTAACATAATTAATTAGCATCTTATAAAAGCCTCCATGCTCTTACCTCCTTTTCCATCCTAAAGTTAGTTGTTTCCTGTAAGTATATAAGAGGAGATTAAGGAATTCCTACTCCACCGTACTTCTCACTGTTCTCTAAAGTATTTTCTACCATCGATTTTCATCAAGCAAGTTATATTTTCACACTTAAATTATGGTTTAGTGCATTAAGCTGGAGAATTTTATTATTCAGGTTATAGAAGTTTAGAGTATTCTAGTTTAGTTTATTCAGAGTTTTACATTCAATAATAATTGTTGACTGACAATGTTTTGTTTCACTAGTTCAGGTGCTTAACTATTCAGTTCAACTTCCATCTGACATGCTTCAATGTGATCAGTGGACGTGTTTCACACAGTTTTAAGATAAATTAACTGAATTTCACAAGAATGTGTCCAGTTGCTTATTTACAGTCCATGAAAGTTATTTATAGAGAAAACCTAGTGGTTTTCAAAATCGTTTATTGTTTTAATTATCAGAGATGGGTGTTATGACTGATTATTTTTATCAGATGATATTATAATCTAAATAATGACCGGTTATTTCTATCACTGGATCGTCAGTAAGTAGACTGGTCTTTTGACATTCAAGAGATAAATACCTCATCTTGATACATTGAGGCTTCCCTCTAATCTCTATTGAATGCATCAACATTTCGTAAAGGAAGATGTTGAACAATCTAAATGGTTGATACTGTAAAATATTTCATCGTAAGAATTGTGTTGGGTGGACAGTTATGGTTCATAATAGTCAAGTGTTCTACCCAAACAGTATCACACAATGAAGTTTAATTGTTCTTTTATCAACTCATTTTCAAGTCATAACACCTGTATTGTGAACTTGACGGATAAGATAAATCTGTTTCTGCATATCTGACCCAAGATTTAACTGGTCAATCTTAAGGAATAAATTCAAGCGTATCCCAACCATTTTGACATTATCAACCAGACATGATGTCGTAAACTGATGAGTAGTATAGATGTAATGATTTCGTAAATAAATATCCACCAGGTCAATAAGATGAATACATTATTTTTTCAAACAACACATGCATTCAATGTGTCGAAATTTAGGTTATATAATTTCTTTTCACATTATCAACGTGAAGAGTTGATATATAGATAGTTGTTAGTGTTATTCACGCTTGTTTTCGTTTTGTTTTCTTCTTCATAGGGTTACTTATTACGTTTAAAAACAAACCAAAGTGTAGATCAACAATTTCTCGATGTCGTCTTTCATAAAATTTCAGATTTACGAGTTTTTCACGCGTAAGTTTATACAACTTTTCTTTTTTTTATTAGCGTTGTTGTTTTGAGCATCTGTGATTTCGTTTTTAATATGCTTATCTATCGGTAAAAGTATGGTGTACCAACGGCCTTCAGTTCACCAATTAGAATTAGGATAATGCTTCACGTATTTTGCACGAAATTTGTCAATCTTTGGTTATTAAAATGCTCGAAATCAATAGAGGTATCTATTATGCAACCAAAAAGTGGATTTTAAATTATGAAATTACAAAACATAGCTGCACGTATGACAGTTGGTGTGTTAACGTGCTTGGTGTAATTGGTTGTGTAAGGAAGAGTGTTTAGTGAAGCTGGATAATATTCTCCCATTTTAACTCTTGCTCTAAATATTAACCTTAAATTTCTGAAGTTTGTAAATAAAAGTGTGGTAAAGCATTGCACTGTAGCTGATGTCAGTTCGTGAAGAAGACCCTGACTCTAATTTATATACCTGACTCGAAACTTCAGTTTAACTGTTAATACCTAGGCCTAATCTTTTTGTATTATAACTGATGTCAGCTGATGATGAAGACTTTATGAGATTATAACCTGAACCTATGGAGGTGAGAACCCTAATTTACAACACTAGCTCGACTCCAAATACGTAAATGTGACCTTTTTCCTTTTCTGCAAGGAGTAATTTAACATGTGAGTCATAATAATTCAGATCAAAGCTGTTATTTTGTTGGTTTTTATTTTGAATTGCTTTATAACTAATCAGCGTCTTCTGAGTGGTTGATAAGTTGCCCAATATTGTCAGTATAAATTTCGATAGAGCGATAAATAGACTGAGTTGATCTGAAAAAATTGATGTATTTGCGCTGTACATTTCGAACAGTCTGGTTACACATGTACTCGTCAGGGAATCATATATGAAAATTAACAAAGGTTAATTAAATGAAGGCTCGAGTAAACAAAGTAATAAAGGAGAGAGAAAATCAACATGGTATACAAAGAATAGGAAATTATTGCATTACCCTAGTTCATAAAATGACTTATGGAGAACCAGGGTAAATTCAAGGTTACGAGAAGTTGTTTTTGTACACGCAAGAGGGGTATAAATTTACGAATAACTAAGGTTTCTATAAACCTGGCAATTCGTCCTTGATAATTTCAAAACAATGTTTTAAAAGCTGTATTCGCGATATCGTAATGACTTATGAAGCAGAAAATAATGGCCAATTGCCGTTTTTAGACACACTTTTGAGTTGAAGGGAGGATGGTACTATAAGACAGTCAGTTTGTAGGAAACCAACTTGGACGGGGCAATACTTAAATTTCCACAATTTCTGTCCATTACAATACAAGCGAGGCCCGGCTAAGTGTCTCTTTAATAGGATACAGTTGTAGAAGACGAAAAAGTGCTGAGTGACACACTAATGTCAGATGGTTATCCACTAAAGTTTATAAGTAGGAGCAAAAATCAATCAACATTAAAACCTCTTGTTTATTCTGCTCCGAAGAAAACTGTTTATATCTGTCTACCATTTAGAAGTGAATCTAACAGTATAGTTTTCAGAGAGATTAAAAGCAGCCATCGAGAAAACCTATTATGCTGTTCAATTGGTTGTGATTGAAAAGTCTAAGCCCATTATTCCAAATAGACCTAGACAATGCACAAATGATTACGTCAAATCCCATTGTATTTACCAATTTACATGTTTGTATGGACACACATACATAGGGAGGAGTAGTCGAACAATGCAATCAAGGGTGATCGAACATGTGCCTAGATGGCTTCAAAACCAATTAGTGTCAAATGTTCCGATCAACATGGAAAGTAGAAAATCATGTTCATAGATAACAAAACATATAATTGAAATGGGGTACATAATTGACATTAATATTGCCTTTAAAGTAATTAGTCCCTTTTATAAATTTCGAAAGGATAATAAGAAGATGGAGTTGATCTGAAAAATGTGATATATTTGCGCTATACATTCCGAACAATCTGGGCACTCATAAACTTGTCAAGGCATTTTATATGAATATTAATAAAGGTCAATTAAATGAAAGTTCAAGTAAAAAGTAACAAAGGGGAGAGAAACAAATTTGCATCGTATAGAAGGAATACGAATGTGTCGCGTTATCCTAAGCCATTACTTAAGGATTACCAGAGTAAATTCAAGGTTACGACAAATTGTTTTTGTACACATAAGGGGGTTTAAATTTGCGAATAGGCTTCAATAAAATTGAGAATTCGTCCTTGGCTATTTCTATACCTTTTAAAAGCCGTATTAATATCGATTTTGTGTCCCATTTCGATTATATGTCTTGTTATCTATGAACATGATTTTCTACTTTCCATGTTGATCGGAACATTTGACACTAATTGGTTTTGAAGCCATCTAGGCACATGTTCTAGATTGAACAACATATATAAGCGAACAATATTGTTTTCGATTAGATCTTCATCAGGCTTTACTCTAATATACAGTAAAATTTATATACATATATGAAATTATTAAACCGATCAAGGTAGTTTATGAGTCAATGGTAACTATGAAAACGATTGCATAATAAGTGAAAAGTACAAATTGGTAGTGTGATAACAGGTGTACTAAGTTTGATAAGAATAATAAAGGCTCAAATCAATGTTACATAATGGGAAATAGGTCAATGATTGGAAAAATATAGACAATGAAATAACATTGATAAAATTATAAGATGACGTAATAAGAAATGTTCAGATAATTGAACCGTGAAACGTATATTTGAGAGAAAATAAAATAAAGTGGTAGGAGGGGGTGAAGAAAAATAATAAACGGAGAGAAAGTTTGAAAAATTAATAAATAAATTCATTTATTAAGGCCAAGGGAGAGATAAGGGTGTTACAAATTTCTTCTGAACACAAAGACTTGGCTTGTTGGCTCGAATTCCTATAGCTTCTGCTATGTGTAAGAGACGAGATCGAACACCATAAGGAAAACTAGTGGGAATACGATAAATAATTTTAAATGGACTTGTTTCTGTTCACTACATGACTGCTATCGATTAAGTGTGATAGAACCGAGCTGCGTATTGTCTTGACGTTACCTTTTCCTAACCACGAAGGGAGGTGTTCACGAACTCTGGTTCAGTTGCCTGGTAGTGCACCCAATATAGCTTTTTCCACAGGAGCAGCTGAATTCGTAGATACTGAAGGATAAGTTACCTGGTTATGCCACTTCTATGTGTATTGTGTATTGTAATGGACAGAAATAGTGGAAATTTAAGTATTGTGTCGTCCAAGTCGGCATCCTGTAAACTGATGGTTTTAGGAAAACTGACACAGTTTATTATGTATTGAGTTTAGCAATTTTATTAGTTCATATGTAGATGAACCATGCATAGATAATATTGGTTGTAATGGATTATTAATTTTATGGATTTTAGGCATTCCATATAAATTCAGTCAGTATAGTTTACCTTCACTTATAGGTTTTCTTCTTGACAAATTCATGTTGCCATGAATTGTGTTTATAAATTTTACTAAATACACAGAAAATTTATGTCAATTTATAGTGATCTGTTATTATTGATCAGTTAAAGTTGTGACTTCCAATTATTCACTTTTATTCTTTCTTTATTTTTCGGTTAATTGTTGAAATATGTATGTTATTAGTGTATCATTTAAACAAGATTGAATGAATTATAAGTATCAATATCCAGGATTGAAATTGATAGTTTCAAATAAATTGACTATTAGATTGAAAGTTAGTCATAAATTATCCTAATGAGTAGAAATTTTTATTCCTAACGTTTCGTCACTTATAGGAGGACACGTAGGACAATTTGAAATAGTAGTACAAAAGGAACAAAGCTGAATATTTCTTATTATAATCAAAATCAGGTCTGTACATATCAATATCATGTTACTTTCGGTCAATCTCCACTATTTTTTATATGGATAGTCAATCAAAAGTAGTCTTATGAAAGGGTCATTTAATGGCAATCAGAAATCACCATCTAAAGGTCAAGTGCACTTTAATTGGGTCAGTGGGTCAATTTGTGAAAGATAGAATAGTATATATACGAATAAGTATTTGTGCATTTCATTCAGTAGTCTAATACACTTTCTTGCTCACTCTTATGTTCTTGCTCAAGGGGTTAGCGCGTAACATACTGTGTATCAGTACCGATATATCGAACCATGCACGTCACAATTTTTCATACTCATTGTCATCCATACAAATAAATATAGTGATATGTTGTACAGAATCAATTACCTTGTGTTATTTGTTAATTTACTCTGAAGAAATGAGTTAATCAAGTTACAAAACATCAGAAATACAAATTTCTACTCATTGGAATATTACAAAAAGAAATTATTACTATTATTATTGAATTAATTGTTATTGAGCTGTTTGTTTAGCGTAGAGATGATCAGTTATAGATAGCCCTTGAGCATAGTACACAAGGATATAAATCGTGCTTCATTTTGTGAATAACGGAAATTGTGGAAAGTTTAAATGTATTTTTTTCCAAGTTTATTTGAAGTTTTCTAATGTAATCAGATTGATTTAAACTTACGTCCACATTTACATTCAGTTCTGTAGGCTTTACAGAAAGCTTTTACTGTGGATATAATGATCAAATAGACTGTCTAACATGGTATTAATTCATTCAATTAAGTCATATTTATTCGTGTAATGGTCTGGATTATTTCGTTGTTACGTTAACTGAATTTCGATTAATATCGGTTGGTATATATGTGTCTTCTGCTAATCATCTTGATATGGCCATTATGATACGATTAATGAATATAATATATTTGTGGTATTCCAGTGAGTAGGATAATTAAATTTGGTGAGACTATACTTTATGGACAACCTTAGGGTGACGTTAAAGTGACCTTGAAACTGTTCACCTAATAACTGGGACCAAATGGGGTTTATAAACCTGTATGACGAAGTAGAATCATGATTTACAGTTGATGGTTAAAGTTACGAATCAGATTTAGGGTTTTCATCACGAACTGACATCAGCTATAATGTCAAAAACTCTATTTATCCAAATGGATGAGTGGATTTCGCGCTAAAATCCGAGACCTGTTATCGTATGCCTGATTGGTTCGTCCAGAATCGGTCACAGTTAATCAAATGTGTATGATATTGGATAAAGTGAGTACTCATAGAAACTGATTTGTGGCATGGTGTTGATATCTATCATGCCGAATTAAAATTAATCTTCCTTTACAAGTTTTATAAGTTGTACGTGTGTGTGTGTTGCTTTAGTGACTCAGATATTAGATGTACATCTATTGGTGTAATATGATTGAAATTTACATCATCTAGGAAAATATAGAGTAGTCAACGTGATTGACGCATCCCTCAGTATTATGTTTCTAGGTTGTATGCTTTTTCTTATAATAAATTAATAGTATGTTGTTTTATGTATTTTTTGAAAACTAATTTTTAGACAACTTCATTCTGATCTTTATTTGAATCGTGAAAATTTTATTCAACTTGGACGAGTATTTCTAGTTAATGCAAAACATTTTGAAGAGCTCTATGTGGATTTTTGTCTTAATTATCCAAAGTAAGTGTTTTTTTTTCCAAATAGTTTTCATAATTTACAGTTGGTGTCCTTAAGTTCTTATAAGGACACTAGTCGATTTTCTAGAGTCTCTATATTGTTCTTGATTATAATGGTTAGGATTAAAGGATTAGGTTTAAGGTTTTTGATCATCAACTGACATTAGTTGGTACAAAACTTGCTCTTTGACCATTTAAATGAACGAATCTCAAAAAATCCATGAAATACAATGCCAATAGGTTACTGTTTACTTCAAGATTCCAAGCTCCAGGTCAGGATTTGAGGATAATGTCAATTTTCTTGTTATGTACAGTTTTACAAAGAAAGAATTGAGTATTTGATGCATTTAATGATATCACTTTCACTATATGGTGGCATTATACTAAGATATTTCTACTGCCCCTCCATACCTTGGTATTTGAATTTTGTTCAAAAACCTAAAGGTTGTGTTCTCAATTGTGACCAACTCTTCCCTATACTATGATCATACCAATGAAGCAAGCTTAACAAGTACCTATACTGTGGTGCGTGCTACTTATATCGATGTAAGTAGTATATCACGCGAGTTAAAAACGCAATGTCTGGCAGCAGAAGATGGGGGAAGGTCAAGAAAGGAAGAGCGACAACACAATGCGATTTGTAAGGAAACGCATGAACAATGAAATGTGAGACAATGGATTGATGTTTGCAACAGGAACAGTCCAGGTTGATATGATGCATTGATATTCTGCAAATTAACGATTTACTATATGGTTTTTCTATTTTACCAAGTAACTCTGTAATTTTGTGTTAAATACAATTCGGTTGTCCTCACCTGTGTTCTCCTTCACTAAAATACTGGCTATCTGTGAGGCAACTGGTTAAAATATATCAAATAAGTCCATTATTTCATCTCATTGAAATATCCAACTTCAGTGACTAATAGTTAGTACTCACAGTAGTCTCCTTACTTTATGTTTTAATATGTTTGTTTTTCTTCTTATGATGCTGTTCAAATTTCTGTTAACTCGTATTAAAAGTACATCATTGTATAAACTCCCGTTTTTTGTGGAACAGGAAGGTACCTGAAATCTTACGTATAATGAGCAGAACTTTAAAATAGTTTCCGTATAGTTTTCGCAATGATTCTTCGAAATTGTTCATTGATATTTTTCTTATTAGTGTTGTAAAAAGAGACAAGGGATCAAGGTCTATTGTGAGAAATTACAAAATGTTTAGATAATATGTATGCGTAGCCCTCGGCTATCTATCTGTATCTTGTCTATTTTTCTATGCAAACTGTCTTCTCTTTTGGTTTTCAAGTGTGTTCAGCTGTTGAATTTTCTAGCATGTTGTTTATTAGATTGATTTAGATTAAGACCTCCAGTTTAAGCTAGTGAAATCAACTGACCACCTCTCGTCTTCTGTATAGAAATAACAAAACATATCATGAATAATTTGCATTTTTCCCACCCCTCCCTATATTTCATACATTCTGTTGTGGTTGGTTACTGCTGTTTATTTTTGGGGATTATGCAACTTTGTACGGTGTTCCAGCCGTGTTAAGGTTGTCAAGCCCTATGCAGTGATGCCGAACAGCTTTCCGGTAATGGTTTCCGTTTCTCACGGTTCACAAACCTATCGCATTTGGGGTATACGTACCCTGTAAGCAAATGTACGTTGCATGCACGCCGGTAGTACACATGTTTTCACTCATGTATCCCTTGGCCCACATATAGATATATTCGCCCACTTGGGAGGGTAGTTGGTCACCTCTTCCTTCGTACGTGTTAGCTGCAACTGACTGTCACTTATGCATTTATTGCGTATCACTCTTACATCACATTCTTGTTGAGAGTCCGGCGCGTGCCCTTTGAATATACCTACATACACAATTAAACATGTCGAGATCATGCAGTTCATATACATAAGCATACACATCGATCAGCCCGCAATGAATCCGTTTTACTGCATATTGGGAGATTAGTCCGTTCTCGTTGACCACCCAAGTTAGACAGAAAGGTTTCCTCTACCACCCAGCAGCACCGTGGAGAGGCCTTAAGTCAGATTTTTCTCTATACAGTTTTGTCAGTTTTTCGTTACTCTAACCTGATTTTCGTCGCTGTGGTGTGTGTGTGTTCTTGTTCATAAAAATATCTGTGAGTGTATGTATGTTTGAAAGCTTAATCACTGCCCGAACTAGTTATTTGAAGTTTGCCTGTATTCTTTATATGATAAAAATTATTTTCCTGGAAAAGATTTGTTTGTATTTATTTTTATTGTTCATTGGATTGTATTTTCCTGTATACAGAATCTATAGAACAGAAGATTCTCTTTCCAAATCACTTCTAACCGTAACTAGGTAGATACCATCGAAATTAATTTGTAAATTGTATTTACTTATCGTTATTCTTTTTTATTGTTTCTTTTATATTTTGCCTTTCTTCTTTTATTACAAACAAAAACTTATCGACTAACTAACTGACGGACTGTCAACTAAGCTCAGCATGAACACATCTATGACCAATTAGAATAAGTTGTCAAATTTTTCGTCTAGTTGTTTCGAAAAAAAGCCTAGCTTTTTTGTCTACTCCTTATTGATCGATTTTAGCATATACAAGGTCAAATAATGTTACCTATTGCATTCCGATTGATCAGATTTTTCATAAGGCTTTTATCATTTACTTTTTACTGGTGGTGGTGGTGGTGGGGGTTCGCGTTTAGTGTTACTGTTTCTATCGCAAACCACGTAACTAACCAACGAGTATAATAAATGATGTATCAGGCGAGACTATAATTTATAGATGACCTTTGAGCGATGGGTGAGACTATGCTCTACTGACGGCTTTAATCGAACAATCAAAACTAAGCTAACCGATGATCGAATTTAAAATGCTATTGTGGATAGCATGTTGCTATAACTCATAATTTTCATTTTATTTCACATTTCGGAAGAATTAGATGATGTTTTCCTTGTCGAATGAGCTGTTGAGGTCTGTGTTTGCATTAGGAATGTTAAGGTTAAGAGCTATGGTTAAGGAGTCAGGGTTAAGATGAAGGGTTAGTGTTGAGAGCTAGTGTTAAGGAGTATTGGGGGAACTTCAACCACTTACTACGGTCGAAATGGGGTCATAAATTAGTGTGAAGAATTGAGACTAGAACTGTCATGGTTATAAGTTAGGATTAGAAATTAGAATTAGGTTTTTTATCACTATTTTACATCAGCTATAATTCTAAAATGTAACTTACCTATATGGATGAATGAATTCCGTGCCAATCCAAATCAGACTCGCAATTTTAAATCTGATTGGCTCTCTCTGGTCAAGAGGAATAGTTAAAAATGTGTAGTAACTATTTATAACTTATCAGGCGTTTCAGTTACAAATCCATAATTTTTGTATTACCATTAGCCAAAGTAAGAAATGGATAAATGACGGTAGAGAACTTTGGCAGCTGTCCAGAAATACGCAACTAAACAATGGTTTTCCAGATGGTTTCATCAAAATATATTTATTGGAACAGATTATTGGGTCAGATGCCGATACACTATATCTAACTTGTATGTCTTATCATGACCCCACTCCACGAGTGGGTCACCACATACTGTAAACCCTTATCTATATAATCCTCCCTTGTGTTTGTGGTTATCTCTACTTTGTCCTATTTTTAATTTACACATTGTCCTTTCTCAATTCATATAAATTTCTTATCATAATTACTCTGATAACACCTCTCTTATTAAAGATTATATTTACATGGCATAGTAATAATAATAATTATTTTCTCAATTAAGTCCATAAAGAATTTCACTCCACTATTTATTTTACTCACATAATTCATTTTCTTATACTGATTATGGCTGAACAATTCACAACGAATTTTCCTACACTTGTTTTATTGACCTTTCTTATTTAATAATGATTATTTTGGTGTATATAGGTCTTAAACGATGCAGAAGTTCTCTATTTGAATGAATAACATTATCTAACTCACTTAAGAATGCCTTATTTTGGTCATCCCAATACGATAATTTTGTTGAAATCATGAAATGATTTATGACCGCCATTGAAATCCGTACGCGGGGATCACAGCTAAAGCCATTGAGTGCTTTGTCAATGTTAATGCTGGTCTAACTTGAATTATTTCACGATTTCAATTAAATTCAACAGTCTTCACAACCCTGGAGCTCTTCTAGGGTTACTGCTGGTCTGAAGCCTGGATAAACGAGGGTTGGCATGGGGTTAGCAAATTCATTCCATAGAAAGGAATCTTTCTAGGATAACGCTTTAGAATGAATTTGTTGAGAAGTATTTCTTTGTTGAATAAATTGTTGTACGGTTTATCGGGTATATATTTAAGTTAAATAAATATATGACATTGTTAGATTAATAAATTACATTTGTTTAGGGTTATTGATGACTTTCTTTATTAATTTAAGTACACTATCAACTCATAATACACAAACGATTGTAAATTAGCTGGCTACAATCATTCAGACTCATTCAGGGATTATAGAAAGAAAAATTCCTGAAGACATACTTGATTATATTCTTTCTTCATTTGTTAATTCGGTTGTTGGTTTAGTTTCTCGGACTATAAGTATGGTCAGACAGGTGTATAAGATTTTGCAGCTTGTTTTATCATTATTGCTCATATTTCTTAGCCGCTGAATAGTTTTTTTTTAAAAATTATGATGTAATTAGAGTAAATCTGAAATTACACATGAAAGAATGCTTCATATAGATCATTCAACAGTTTAGGTTTGCGCAAACTGTATGTATTCCTACTTCTGTTAATTTAAGTTCAATTATTCCCTAGTGGAAATTTAATCGTTCTTTGGTAAATAACCCATTCACTTCATTCATGGAGCAGTTATAGATGAAATGCTTCAAAAGCATTAGTTATTTTCTCTAAAAAGTGGCGTTCACATCTTTTGAAAACTATATTCTTATCTGAAGTTTATTATCAATCCACTGAGTTGCTGTCACAACTTAATCTAATATACTGTTATAACTTATGACTGCCGATTAGGGAGCAGTAAACTATCGATCGGATCAATGATGCGTAAACCCGTATGAGCAGTCTGGAGTCCTTATTGGTTTCGCTTCCTGTCTAGCCCAGCCAGTTAAGTCCAGAACACCAATCCGAGCCTCTGCGATATGAATCATGTATTTCAAACATTCTCGGTTTATATATACCAAGCAAACAGACCACAACGTACCATAAAAATAAAAAAATAACATTTGTACAAAATTTGGCGAAATGTAGCTGTGAATGTGGGAGGCAGTGACTAATAGACAGGGCATAATTCAAGAATGGTAAAACGTATAATAATGGTTCATAGGTCAAAATAAAGCTTATAATAAGAGGAACATGAATATGCACAGTTTAGTTATTTAACAATTATACGATAAAAAATTATTATAATATTATTGGTCCATAACGGGTCCCAAAGTTACCATTCATTATGCATATCGGGACCTAACATATACCTTTTCACATAAGCTTCAAGTGGCTTTTGAAAATGAGTTTAGTATCATAATTGTTGAGAGCTAATAAGTCCCCGGTTGCTGTCGTATTTTGTTCCTGGATATCTTCAGTAACAACATCAGTAGTAGTAGTAATATGCATTCAATTGTTGAATTCCATCCATTTCTCAGAGTATTCAATCATGAATAGTCATTGAAATTTGATGTACTGTATTTGCTAACTGGAATTTTTAGACTAAATTTTAGTGAGAGCTGTTTCTAAGTAAATGAGGAACTTAAAGTACTTGGAAATAATTTTATGTACACGTTCATATCTTTATTCGTTGAGAAGTTTCATGAATCATTGAATATATGAAAACTGTTCATTTTTCGTAAAGTATATTTCTTTTCTTTTTCTCTTTAAAAAAAACCCCACTCAGAACTATTCGTTTGCTTGAAGAAGCCCAAAAATCTCGTACAGATACTTGGATATGTCTTAACAATTGTCAGTCAGAATTACAACATCAACTTCCTCTTGCCACATATCTTCTCAAACCAGTACAACGTATACTCAAGTATCAATTATTTTTACAGGTAATTTAGTGATTATTTTAAATAACGTAAATTTATATATTTGTTACATGACCAAGTACTCAGTTGGCTGCATTTGTTTCAAAGTATTAAATTCTTAAGATGATCAAACATTTATTGAGTCAGTGGTCTATTCATTCTTTTCAACTATCGATGTTATTTAGGCTATGGTACACTTTAAATTTATTACAAAACGAGAGGTAACATTTTAAAAATTAGGGTTACATTATTTGAAAAGACGTAATTCATAAACTATTTCCAATTGAATATTTATCACAGAGTTGTTACACAACACTTTCGGGCATAATATAAACGGGTGGGGGGTCTGTTATTACTGTAGTGTGTCGAGAAACCATTTTATGCGTTAAAATTGTAGAAGAGAACTTAGTTCATTAGATTTACTATTGTTGCAGGTGGTGGTGGTATGACCTACCATTGACTGTAACATCACATGATATTAATGTGATGACAAAAAGAAAAGACGTTCTTGAGTTGTGTTGAGGACAGGTGATCAGCTCATTTAATCTTAAAGTAGCTGTATTATGTGGTCCGAATGTTGATTACCTCATCTGGATTTTCATGTGTAGGATCAATGAACTCAATTACGGTGAGACAACGACTGAAATCAACACTTCATGCCTAATGATCCCGGATGCATTTCTCCATTCTTTCTTGTCTGATTGACCGAACAAAACAGGAAACACATTGGGCAAATAACTTCCATTGTACAGTTTCATTCATAACTCAAACTTGTAGGACAATATGTGCATAACTACTCCATAAATGGAACAGAACTCAGTAATTGGTCAATAATAACTCAAAGAAGGTGAAACAAAGAACAGTAGTTTATGCACCAAATGAAAGCTCACAATTAGGACAATAGAAGAGTGCAGTAATTTAAGTGTCTAATAATTATACAATAAAATTGTTATTAAATAATTCTTTGCAAGATAATCCAAAAAGTTATATGTTCACAATATCCACCTGATTATAGGAGATATTTAATTGATTTTCCGATTTCTGTTCGTCATTCACAAACCAGTATTCATTTGGTTATTTATTTTTTTCAGTACCACTATTGAAATAGAAGTTTTTCGTGAAGAGGAAAAGTACTATGATCACATTTCTTGTCGTTTTGTCCTTTATTTATCTAATTACTTCTCTCTATTTTATTCACTCTCTGTTTTCTTTTTATCACAATTAGGAATGTGTCAAACATTTGAGTCAAATAAAAACAGAACTATTAAATTCGAAATCATCAGTACCAAGTAGAGATTTATCGATCAATAACACTGTAGGTCTTTCAGAAAGTAACAGTGATCAGAATAACGATATATTGTTGGAGTTTTTCAATCATTCTATTTGTACATTAAGACAAGCACTGGAACGTATGATTCAAGTGAGTGGTATAATGTCACTAGATATAAATTGTATGTAATACATTTTATCATTTCTAAACAATCTTTTATATCTCTTATTTGCGTATTAAAACGACTCCACTTATCGCTGTACAGTTTCACATAATTAGGTTATTGCTATGTCGTGTGCGAGCCTAGCTAGGTACTGTGGTGAGAAAACTGAGAAGGAAGTATTTATTATCTGAGTCGAGTTATCACTGTAATATATATATATATATATATATATATATATATATATATATATATATACCATTTGGAAATGGAAACCACCTTTTCTACTAATAGGGCGTCTTATTCTTTGAAGAAGGAAGCCTTATTTTGGTCAATAACATGCGCTTATCATTTGACCAATGTCTCATTGGTCCACTGTATCGGTTATAAACTTTTTATTTTAGACTACTTAAAGGAACTTGAACGCCTTAATTGTAAACAGAATACATTATTAATTTATGAGTGACGATTTACATATTTTCCCAAGAGCTTTATTTTAATGTAGATAGGTATATCTTACGGACAAGTTTCATATAGTGCGAAACCTAGGTCCAGAGTTTACTATCGTCTACCTTCAACTACCTGACATCCCAACGTTGTCTATACAATGTCGAGTCACTTAGACTGGTGGCCACATTTCAACTTGGTCAAAATAATTCAATGAACACCAAAAAGACTAGATGAACATAACATTGCTGTCTACTTCCTGTTTTTGTCACCATTCTTCACTTTCCGATTATATACTTCAATTTTAATCTAGATTTTAAAAAAATTATTTATTTAAACACAAACATTGGTACAAAGGGGCACCAAAATGTGTATGCGCCATAATGATAATTGAATTTGTGTGTGGGCTGGGGTTATTGCCTGGTCGCCAAAACCGAAGCAGGTTGTTTTTTAGGTGATACTCTTTGAGCCTTTGACCTAGAGATCCAACCCACTAGTTAGTGAACTAACACTTGGAGATGGGGGCCCTATGCTAGCTGGCGGTCAACGGTAGCTTCATGTACCCCATTCGTTCCCTCAAGATACTAGAGGTCAGGTACACCATTGATTTGGAACCAGGACTTCCTGACTCTCTTAGGTGCATGATGCGTATCCACTAACCTGGTTTAAGTGCCGGACACTCACTTTTCATCCTCTCAATTTCGTAAACGACACCCTCTCTACGAGAAGCCAGTGAGCAGGACTTTCCTGTCAGTGGCTATATATGCGTGGACATATCACAGGATTTCAAGAGAGAAAGCTGATTGTCGCCACTTTCGACCGTATCAGGGCTATATACTCAGATTAATTGTAGACAGATTTTGCTGATATCAATCACGTTGGTTATGTTATTCGCATACTGAGTAGTGAGTAAAGTTAGTTTAAATGGTGACGTTTTATAGCAGAATACAAGTGAAGATAAACTAAATAAACCATTTATTTGACTGGAGTCTCTGTACTTGAAACAAGTGAGTTGAATCTCTATCACTATTTTGACCGTTAACACGTTTTATACTGTGTTGCTTTTTTGTTAAGTCTTTCGTTATTCGACCACAAATACATCCTTATTACTTAGTATTCTTTGTATATTGCCTCATTCGACTAGTCTTCAAAATATTCGAAATAAACTAAGTTGAATGGAAGTGAGTCATAAAAGGAAAAGCGTTCGTATATTTATGATTTTACGCAAGAAGGTTCAAAAGTCCATTAACACTAATCGACTAAGAATGAGTCAATTAATGTGTTTCAACACAATCCTGTATGGGACTTACCTTAATACAATCTATGTCCTATTAACACTTATCGTTAACGTAAATAATCTACACATTGACGCCTCAATTTTTCAATGTTACGTATTCTTACCTTTGTATTCGTACATATGTAATGTTTATACTTATGTAATTGGTTGGTGGTTTCAGGTGTGTGATCGATTTTTATTCAGACTAGCAACTGGACAATAAATAATCCGCTTTAATTCTATAGTACAATCTCCTTTTAATGTGTATAATTAGTCAACACTCCCACTTATTCATTATTTTGGCGCCTCCATTTCTCCGAAATTATTGAAATATAACATTCAAGCATTAACTCATCACCGCCATCGTTAAACGGTGTTATTATTATTATTATTATTATTATTATTATTATTATTATTATTATTATTCAGCCAAGATTAGTTGAGAAATAGGATTTTCCATTACCATTCTTGTAAATTATATTTATTATTTGTAGAACAAGAAAGAATGATATAACGAGAATATTTCAGTAAAAATACCATTATTTAATAATTTCACCTTTTGGGAAACTGTGAGATCACAGGTATATATATATCAGTGTGGAGGTTTCGTGAAGATTGTTGAGTACCATTACGTTGACGAACTGATCTAAATTAGACAACCTTTAAAAAAAGAAAGCCATGAACATCTGTTTCTAACTAGTATGGCATCTGTTATGATGGGCGATGCCCGAGATCTGATATTAACACACAACGCGCGATGCGTTAACCCCTACCCTCAAACTGACTCAGTCAATTATCTACAACGTAGGATCAGGCACATATATGCAACGGTTCAAGTTGCAATGCCTCATTAGCACAACAAGATGATCACCAAATTCACAGAAGCAGTTACTTCAATGGTAGTAATATATAAAAGATTGTGTATAAGAATATAATACAGGAAGTAAGAATTAATTCCTGGGAAAAAAGGTACCTCGGAGAGATGTAATTTTCACAGTCGACTAGCTCCTTCTCCACTTGTTCCTGAAATATGTTCTTAACTTTTCCACCATCGAGTTGGACTATGAGGGGTTTTATTGCTATGGCTCTCCTACGGTCAGTGAGACTCAGACAAATACGTACTCGGAATAGAGCATGGTTTGAGTCTAAACATATGCTCCAGAATGAGCGACAATCTTCAACCGAGTCCTCTAACGATAACTAGTAGCAATGTTATCAAGTTGAGTCGATTGTGAAGGTCGCCATGTCAGACGATGTTTCTCCTTATGCTTAGAGTTGGTGTTTTACAGAAATAGACGGTTATCTAAGCACAGTTGCAACAGATGGTCGCAATTATCTGTCCGGTCTATGCTGCTCCACGAGGAGTAACAAGCGTAAGTAATTAAGTAAGTGGGCCGTAACACCGTAAGATCCACATGAGTGTCTTTCGGTTTGGTTTATTTTACCTATTTGAGCATTAAAATCAACTGCTACTTTTACTACATCAGAGTTTAGATTTTTCAAGGAGGTTGGATAGCTTCCTATAAAATTCATCTGTAATTTCGTCCGGGCTGTAACCAGCGGGAGCGTAAACAGAGACAACAGAAAGGCAAATGGGCATGTCCTTATTTTTTCGAGTTCTTACTGCTCCATTTAGTCGGACAGCACATAAGCGACTGCTAACAGGGATCTATTCTAAAAGTGTTTGTTCTGCCGCATGCTCAATGCTATGCTTGCACTCGTCAGTTCACGAGAATTTGTTGTCGGGTTGCCAGATAAACAGAGTGGTATCTTATCGGCTCCCCTTTTTGGCTAGGTAAGGTCAAGTGAATGACCACATCAGTGGTTCGAGATTCCAGGGTCTAAGCCGAGGATGTCTGCTGGCCGACTTGACTTAGGGTACGTACGTTGAAGACAGACCAGTAGTTTGTAGCATAGAACCTTCGTGCTATACTAAAGCTCCTGAGGTCAATCTCTCAAGGGGTCGTGGATGTACTTTGCTAAAGAATCCCCTATTCAACTGACAGACGCTCCCTAGTTTTCACTGGTTAGATCGATTTGTGATTTCAGTATTATACAATTTATATCATAAGGTTAATCTATTTAGCATTTTTTAATAATAATAGTAATAATGGAATATAATTAAATAAAGTATTATATGTATTTTATTGCTTCCCTTTTGTTATTGTTTTTGTATAGGTCGCAGATCATATCAATGAACGTAAACGTTATCGTGAATTATTAGATCAACTTCGGATTACTCGATTAGATGTAGATAATTGGGGTGATCTTGTATTACATGATCATTTTCGTATACCGGGTAAAAAAGACCTACGTCTTGTTCTCTTGTTTCAGTGTGCACTTATCCTATGTAAATATACACCGCCTACATCTTCATCCGGTATCAGTTTGTCAACTTCCCAGTCCATAACTATCAATGATTATTGGAGCAATACAACTAAAACAATGAAATCACGCGGTGGATCAGATAGAATATCAGGAAATTCTAGTCACATGGTTTCAAATGTTAGATCGATCGAAATACGTGAAGTGATTAGTGTGAGTTTATGAAATAGAAATTGGCTTATTGTCCCAATTTTTTATTCTAAAAATTCCTGGATCTAGTTCAACCAAGCTTTCAAAAGATATAAATTAGAACAAATGTTTATATCTTGCAAGGTTTGTTTTTCGGAGGTTGAGACGGAAAATGAATACCATTTGAAACTTATGCAAAACTCTGTCGTTGTTTTTCATGAGAATACTGTATTAGATACTAAAAAAACGTACCAAATGTTGATCGCGTCAGTTAACTGATGACAGGATTGTATCGACCTGGTAGTTTGACTATGGAGCGAGTTTTTTCTAACTTCTTTTTTCCTGCATTCGAGATATCAGTTGAATACTTTTCACCCTGTTATTTCCTACATCAGCAATTTTTTTAAAGATATTAGAGTATGGTGTATTTAAAATCTACTCTTTCTAACTCATCCTGTTTGTTGAAGGATAGAAACTCAGGAAGTACCTTCAGTACATCTCAGTTCAGTTAGGAGTCCTTTGGACCTCAACCTCAATTGTACCTCGATTATACTACTGTGCAACTTATATTGCAGGCGTAATAGTATCTCAGAAAACAAGTGTCTCAATCAACACCACTTAAAAGACCAGTTGGACCATAGTGTCAAATTAGTGTTTGTAGTCGAATTAATGATTTAATTTTATATAGTTCCATTTGAATTGCAGTGTTATCTGACACTAATGGATAAGAAATGCCCTAACGAATCGTTTTCACCTTAAGCTCTAAATATGATTGACTTAATGTTTTGTTAAAATAAATCACACTGCTAATCCACTGATACTCATTACCGACTAGCTTGAATCAAAAACGACTTTCAAGTATAACTAAACGATATTATAGGATACTGTCAGTTAAACAACTTTCAAATAAATATTTTTTGGCATTTAAGAACTTGTATTTTAATTCACTTGAAGTGAGTCGTGAATCTTCACCAACTGAAGTGGTCGGTACTTGTATTATGTATGCTTAACCAACTGCCCTAACCTCAATGCGTTGTGTTGGCTGGTGTAAGGGTGGTAGGTTGAAAATCAGAAGAAGTTAAACTTAGATGTAATCAGTCCATGACATCGTTGATCTCTGGGCAGTGTCGTGTTTATAGGTTCAAACTGTCTGCCTTGAATTCCAAGCGATAACTTGGGCTAGCGTTTGGCCATGTTGATTGAAACGGGTTGAAATCTCTCTCAGTGGTGTCGTTCCATTATTTCTTATCGTTTTTGTTAAACCGTGAATTCATCCCTTCATGATTCATATTCACTAGTTCTAATGTTATGTCCTTCTGTCCTTTGGTTGAATATAGTTTATTTGTATCTTATTAATGATGTTTCACAATTTTTTTTCAATATTATAATGATAAATGGAGTAAACCTCTGACCAATATTTTGGAGGTTAGCACCTCACTCGATCTTCTCCGAACTGAGTAGCCGGGTAGGTATTTCTACACTACACACAAAATGTGATTCAAAGCCCAATAAATTAACCTGTACTTGGTAAATGAGTTATCAGTCGTTCATGTTGCTTCATCATATATTTCCACAACTGATAATTATAGCTGACGTATCTTGAGGATTAGAAGTTATTAGATATTTTCCGGAGCAACTCACCCGAGGTTGAAAAAAGGCGAAAGATTGTCGTAACATTTATATATGAAAATTTATTAATTCTAAGCGGTTCTACAGCAAGTAATAATTAGTTCGTGATAAACTCACATTTTAGGCAATGAACAACATTAATCAAATCTCAACACAAAAATGACCACTTCGACATGGCCACATATGGACTTCATCACTCAATAGGAAAAGTCATTCAAACCAGTAACTAATGCGATACAAGAATTATTTTCAGTAACTCATAAGTAATATAGTCGTAATATACAAATTTCATGCTGGGCTTTTGTGAGACATCACTTGGGTTGATACCAATGGTCACCGTGTGTACACTTTTTAACCTTCTGTGATCATCAATAGGTTTTGGATTCCAATTTCACTATCCATCCGAATTTTTCTTGATACCCATATCTGTTTTGTCTTTTTACATCTGTTATTTCTCAGGTGCATGTATGGATATGTATACTTGTTAGGATATCGTACCGTTACACACTTTCGTGATTCATTCGAGCTTTAGGACAACTTTTAGTGACCGAAATAGTACCTGACCATTGGATTATTTTTACCATCCTAATAGCTTTATTCTTTTTATAGAGGATTGCTTTCTTACCCAATACCTGTCTCGTCACACTACGCTTTATCTATTGCAAGCCATATTAACGCTTGCAACTAATCATATTTTGAGTTGGTACATCTGCCTTTTCCAATTCTGATCTTACTGTCTGTCTATGTATTTTACTACCTGAAACAAATTGACCCAAACCAATTCTATTACATCATCATGTTTATTCCTTGTTCATAGGTTCACACGGGTGTAATACTTTAACAAAAAATTTCTTATAAATATACGATTGTACAGCTTGATAATAAATTCGTTGAAAAGAGATCTCTTTTCTAAAATTCGTGTTTTTAATTCGTATTTGTCCTTGATTATCACTTTCACCTAAACGCAATTATTCTAAGTAAAATATACGAGATCAAGCAGAGAATTCATGTTCATTATTGGTTCCTTCGTCAGATGAAGGTTATTAAAATACTCAGTTAGTCAATTAATCAACCCCAATAATCAGTTGATTATCTTTAACCTAATTAATTAATTAAATTAATTCATAATCACCATTGCTATTTACAATAATTTTTCTCCTTGATTTTTCTTAGTGTGCTAATTTAATGCTAGTTGAATGTATCGACAAAGATCCATTAGCATTTCATATATTACCATTTGATAATCCTAAAGCACAACGTACTCTACAAGCAACCAATTTAGAAATTAAACGTCTATGGTGTCGTGAAATAAAACGTTTAATCTTAGAAAATTATGATGCAGCTATTCCGGAAAGAGCAAAACAAATTGTACTTAACATGGATGATTTAACTTATGGTCCACCTATTAAAGATATATCTGATCTACCTATGAGTTTATGTAATTTACAACAAGTTGGAAAAAATGATTTTGAAGAAGACTGTTTAAACCAAAATTGTTCAAATGATCGAGTACATCGTAAAAGTGATACAGCTCTTCCAGGTGAGTGGTTTTCTTTGTTGTTTTTGAAAAAATGAATTCTAATAAATGTATTATGATTCATTTGTATTGGTTGTTTAAATCTTCCCATTGTTGTTCAACATTGCAATTGATCAATCTCTTATTAGCATAAGTGCATCCTTTGCGGATTACCTCGTTATTGCCTATCAAGTCACAAGCTTTGTAAGCAGAGATAGATGGGTAACTAACAGTGGAATCCAGGACGCATGTTTCGTCCTTTTCTGGACTCCTCTGCTGGATATACCTGCATCCGAGAGTTGAGGAATACGTAACTGATTTGTGCTTAAAAACTGAGAATCTGACTCTGGTGACGCGTAGTAAAAACCAAAGACTAGTGATACTGTTATACTCGAACGAGAATAAATGAATGGTAACTGTTAGAAATTACTTATGGACTAATATTATACTAATATTTTTATTGTATGACTATTAGGTGACTATGATACATGTATATTCATATTCCTTTTATTATAAACTTCTATTTAGCCTATTGACTATTATCGTACGATTTACTGTTCTTGAGATATTCCCAGTTTATTAGTAACAGTCTCTCACAATCATAGCCTTTTTTGACTTGATCTTGTACAAATGTTATCTGCTATTTCATGGTGTGATGCGGTTTGGTTTGTTTGTATATGAACTCAACATATCTGAAATATATGATTCGTATCACGGAGGCTGATATTAGCGCTCTGGTTTGCACCGGCTAGGTTAAGAGAGAAGCTGTTATCTTGGTGGACCAATAAGAACTCTAAGCTTCTCGTATAGGTTTATAAGTCATTAGTCTGGTTGTATAAGTCGTTGTCTCTAATTGGCGGTCGTATCGCGTGATATACTTAATTGACCACAGGAACATGACAGATATGGATTTAATCGATGCTCGAAATAAACGATGTATGAATACGTTATCTTGTTAATTAATTTTTGTATAGCCAGATCAATGAATTATCATAATTTGACTGAGTTATATTTAACGTACTTATTCACAATATCATATTGCTCTATTGATATTGTCATATCAACAGTTAATGTCGTTAACTTCTTTAATCATTTGACTTATGAAAAAACATATATATATCCAAACTATTTTCCATCATTATCATCAGGTCTTCGAAGCTTTTTAAATCGGCAAACAAACAAACATTCAATTTATTCAAATTCAATTCACACACCTAATCTATCTTTGAATAATAATATCAATGAATGTAGAATACCTTTATTAGAAAATGGTTGTATGTTGAACGGCAAGAAAAACGTTATCGGTGATAAAGTCTTACCCTCTGATGATGATATTAATAATTCAACTGATAGACATCTTGATTCATTACTACACGAAGCCTGGGAGGAAATATGGGCTAAACATCAGCATTCACCAGTTAAAACAACTTTTGCAAATGGTCAGTTAGATTCTTTGGAAAACGGTAATTTTCATCATTATCATCAGGATAATTGTAAATTGGACACAGAGGATGTTTATTCATCTGATTCAATAGTAACAACAAAAGCGAATAATGATGCAGACTTCCGGTGTATTGCTGTAGAAATTAATGAAGAGAAATTTGGTCTTTTATCACCTGTCCCTGTACCGACGTGTACTGTTAATGAAAATGAAAAATACTCAGTATCTTCCCTATCTAAATTAAATACAGATTCTTTAAATTGTGTAAATAATTCAGGTAAATATGACTATATTTATTAAAAAAAATTTAATCATTGATCACTCACTATTTATTGGTGTTTATTTGAATGTTTCCGCTATTCGTATCAAGGTCTGAAATTTGATTAGCCTCTGTTAGCTTATTTGCATACTGAGCGGATTCACTTAGTATTGCGCTAAGTTACAAATACCTAGGGAAAGATGGATAGTGGTTATCAGTAGATTTCAGGATGCATCTTTCGTTTTGTATGGAACTCGTCGGCTAGATGTACCCTTCCACATCAATGTTGATATTCGCATCAGGACACGAACCGATTATCTTTCGCTTTAAACACCCAACATACTCTCCACATTAACCTTGACATGATTCAGGCATAAATAAGTGGTTAGATTCGTCCCCTTGGTACAAACTAATGGCTAGCTAGATTCAGTAGCTCTGTGGATGATGTACTGGGCACTGGGTTCAAGTCCTGGTGTGAACATCAAAACGGATGCAAGTACATCAAAGACACCAGCCACTATTAGTGTTTACTTAAATTGATCAGTTAAGTTTAGAAAGTTCACAAAGTCACATTATTTATATGAATTATTGACATTGAATAATTAATGTGTAGTGACTACTGATATTATGTTTGTTTTGTCTTTAGTGCCAAGCGAACTCCGTTGGTCAAGGTAATTGGGTTAATGATCAAAATAAACTTAGTTAACGAAGTCTTAAAATGAAAGTTACAAGGTAAACAATATTACTTTACTCCTACTCACTAAGATTTTGGGATTCAGGTTCTAAAGAACGACAAAGTGAGTGCACGTGTTTCAGTGTGAACAACTTTAAACTTTGTCACTCGAAATATCTGATGATTGGTTACGATAATCACACGGATACCAAACAGATAATCTACACCTATTAACATGGTTCAGTCAAATTGTCAATAATTTCATGTAATGATACCAAGTCTATGTTTGGTCACCCCTAGCTTTCTTTCACCAGGCATTTACCTCTTAAAGACTTGACTGTTAGCTTCTTCAAATACTCCATTTTGTTTCTATAAAGTGATCTAGTTAAATTAGTTTACTCCAAACAAAATGAAGTGGGAATTTTCCTAAACTAACCTTTTTGTATAGAATTATTGTGAACATTACCTTTCCTTTAAAAAATTCAACTGTCTCCTGTGATTAGTTTGCTCTTAAACCTATTACAGATGACTCAAAATACCTCAGTTTAGTCACAGTTAATTCATAGTCCAGTAACTTTTAGACTTATCCTTCATTCTTCAGTTTTACTAACCTAAAATGTATTGAAATACCTATTAGAATATTTGACAATAATGTTGTATGACACATCGATAAAAACGCACATTGTTCTTACTTTTTCCCTTTCCCAATAAATCAGATAACTACAAATTTTCTATTCCTACTTCATCATCTCCCTCATCACAACATTTATTACATTATTCTTCATCACCTAATTTTTCAATCTGTCAACGATCATCACCAACATTATTATCTGATAAATCTGTACATAGTCATAATCGTACAACTTCCGTTTATATTGACTGTCCAAATACATCATATTATGATGTAATCACATTTGGTCGAACTTATGAACAGTATATTGCTAAAGCTCGAGCAATGGTAGCTTTATCTCCAAAAGATTTAGATGAAATATTCAGTCCATTACGAGAATTACCATTTACTAATAGTGAACATCAATTATCACACTCTTCACTTCATTATCACAATCAAGATGATATATTATCTTCTAATGTTATCAATGTAACAACAACTCATTGTTCAACTGTCCCATTAATATTAAACACAAATATTAATTCAATGAAACAGTTATCTGATACCAATTCGACAACGACGATCAAGAATCGAAATTGTTTAACTTCTGATTTGAAATTATCTTTAACTAATCTTACATCTTCTATAGAAGAAAATAATGGTAATGATAAGAGTAATGATTATTGTTCTTCGTCTGGTGCTAGTTCTCCACGACATTTAGTTAGTTGTATCGCTGTAACACATAATCGAAACGGACTCAATAGTAATTTAGCAACAAAAGTGAGTTTTTTTTTCATTTCCCTAATTGATAAATATAATGGTAGTTTTTTTGTCTTGTGTTGCCAGCGTTTTTTTCCTAATTTTCTCTTCATCTGAAAGTTGATTTGTTCTGTGCCAAGTAGGTTGTTGCTGATGGTGTCTGGCCAACAGATCAAGAGCATCTTTTGTAGACAACTGTCCATATATACCTGTACCTTTTCTGATGATGGCTGTGGTATTTCCCTAAGGTTCAGCTCTGTACAACAGAATTGTCTTGACGTTTGTGTTGAAAATTTTGATTTATTTGTTACCAAGTGATATCTCACTCTGTAGCTATAAACAAATATCTTGGTTTTTATTGCCTTTTTTAAACTGTATTCTAAATAAATTCTTTATTGAACAATGTTGAATGAAAATCAATTTGTAAGCAACTAGTTAGATAAAACTGGAAATAACATTAATAAAATAGAAAATTCTTTAATTCTCAAAACACAGTAAGACAGATGGCATCTCTCAGCTGAAGATGCTGAGTGACTCTATATTCGATCATTGTTGTCTTCAAAAAGGATTTCTAACTTTGGCTATGAACAATATGTTAGTAATGCTGATATCCGGCACTGTATATAGCGATAATTTAATTAGTATTACCACCTTGGATACTTGCTACGAATGTTATCTCAGGGCTTTCCACGTCGTGCATTATTTGCCGACGTTGGGATTGGGTGCGAAATTCACTCAGGTAGTGATGCGTTCATGCATTGTGTTAATATTTCGCAACTCTTAATTCAATACAATAAGTGAAACAACTTTTATCGACTTCTTTCTGCCTCGCTAACTAGAATAAATAGGCCAGTTTGATAATGGAAGCTTTGTTGATGGTCACTTCAGTATATCAATCGAGAATATATTTAAGTTAATCGTTTTCATATTATTTATAGTGATTAGATTTTATGAACTGAATCTTTGTTGCTAAACGAGAATCATATTAAAAATTTATTGAAAGTCTATGAGTAGAGTTCGCACTGAGTAGTTTAAAATATGGAAGATTCATGTTAATCGATATTGATTTGCTTTCTCATAAGTTGTATTTCGGGATTGTACATCCTTAACAGGTAGTTAGTTTATGACATTAAGCCATAGTATAAAAGAAAACTGTCTAGAATCGACATTTTTCGTTTCATTTTGGTTTATCTGGTTGGGATCCTAGTGATCTCTTGAACTCGGTAACTCGACACATCAGATAGGTGTCAGAATCAAACTCAGTGGCGATTCTCCCATGATTTTCTTTTACATTTTTCGTAAAGGTGTGGGGAATTTCTCTAACGGGAAGAATTCTTCTTGGTTGTATTTTTCAAAAAACTGGACTGCCTCTCCTATTTAGATTGTTCTCATTCACATACTTTTATTCGTTTTTTTCTCTTTTGTTTATACTCCCTCACTTTATCTGTCTTGTTACAATTTCATCATTTTATTTGTATGGAGCATATTTGTTTTGATTCTCATTTCTATTGTAGTGAATGGAGACTTGGTTAGGGTAAACCAATTTATTATATTAAGCAAAATCACACAGCATTTGTAAAATGTGGAAACAATACATCTAATACACCATTTGCACAAGACCCGTGGATTGTCATTTACAAGCTCCATCGCCCTTTCGTTACTTTTGCTACTCGGACTGCTTCTGTTTTTGTTTCTCTTCTCATGTCCATTTTCTGTCAGTAAGAATCGTACTTCCAATTCTTTTTACATGCTACTGTCCATAGTACACACCACAGTGTATTGTATTAAATAAGCAAGATATAATTTCATTTCTTTCCTTGATTGTTTAGAATATAACTGTGGTACCGAGTAACACCACTGCTACACCAGCCGTAACAATGGACAGTCGTGTATCAGCTGCAAGATCGAATTCACTATCATTAGGATTCCGAACAAGTGAATCGAAAAATAATGTTGATCTAGTCGATAATTTAGATCGTGGACGAAGGTATGTCAGTCAATCGACATTTCTTTGTAGTTTGACTAGTTTTAAATTTCAGTTAGATTTTTTTTACTATGCAAAATATGATGTTGAAATATAAAAATTGCAGATGCTTAGTAGTTTCGTATATCGATTGGTGATTCTGTTTCATTTCCGTTCATCGACAATTCCTTATCGAAATCTACACTATACTTTTATCTTTTTTGTTTCGACCAGTTACTTTTAAACATTTAGTTCACTAATTGATTACACTTTCTTAACGATCTTTCATCCAATTGTCTTATCTGTTCAAATATTAAACAATTGCATCAAGGCTAGGTAGGTGAAGTTATAGTTCAAAATTGTGACCTAACTTTGTGTAGTATGACTAATAAACTTATTTATTTATTTACCCTTAATACAGTAGATTTGGCTCATTGCTTGTTTTGCGTGTTTTTATCCTGATAAGTTTGTTAATTGAACGCTCGATCTAATTTTCTAATCTCTTCTAACAAACCCAGTCTAAATCACCTATACTGCAACCTGAACACAAGAAGAAGGGCGCGAATTGCAGAACAGACGCTTTACTCCATACACAACAAATCGTGTGTATTTATGTCAAATAACGTAACCTTGGTCATATCGACAGTTCCAGAAGCATACTAAATATAGCAGTAATAGGATAATTATCCAATCAAAAATATGTCAAATAATCTCTCATCCTTCCACATGTTTCGAAGAGGATTCCATCCAATCCTAATTAAATAGTGTTTCTCAGAGTTTTTGAGGCCTTTTTTTACTTTTCTGAGGATTTTTTTAGAACACAACAATTCAGTTGCTGAGTAGTATTGTATTAAAGTCTAAATATACCAACAAATGTCAAATCGTAATTAAATCTCTACGTTTAGATCAACAGTATTATCATGTGGAAAATCAGGAAATACAGAATAAATTGGATGGTGAAGATTGTCCAACTACCATCAGTGTTATATTTATTTGTTCGTTAACAGTTCACCTTTAGTCCATCTTGATAGTCTAATGTTTGTGTACATACATGTATGCACCTTTTATAATAAAGTTAATTTTGTTTTTTCGAATTGCTGAACATATCAAACAATAATGATAATTGTGTCTTAATTTCGAGAGGATCATTTGATTAGAAATTTATTCAGTTTGTTTTTCCCGCATCTTGTTCACAAGTAGTCAACAAAACTCGATTATATGTCAGTTGGGATTCAAATTAACTCACCATGTTTAAAGTTTCTATTAGTATAGAGTTTGTAGAGATTACTGAATTTTTTTTATAGATTACATTATGGGTTGATCTTAGTGAACTAAATATGTGTTAATTTGCTCGAATATAATGTTATATCTCGTGACCGCCGATTAGAGAACAGTGACTTATCGATCGGACCAAGGACGCGTAAAGCACATGCGAGCAGCCTAGAGTCTGATTAGCCCTGCTTTCCGCCTAGCCCTGCCTGCCTATTAAGTCTAGAACACCAGTCCGAGCCTCTGCGATATGAATCATGTATTTCAAACATTCTCGGTTTATATACCAATCAAGCAGACCACATCGTACCATCAACATAGAAAATAACATTTGTCCAAGATTTGGTCAAATGTGGTTGTGAATGTGGGAGGTAGTGACTAATAGACGGCATAATTTAGGAATGGTAAAACGTATAATAATGGTTCATAGGTGAAAATAAAGCTCATAATGAGAGGAATATGAATATGGATAATTTAGTTAATTAACAATTAACGGCAAAAATATATGCACAGTATTGGTCCATAAATAGATCCCAAAAAATTACCACTCATTGTTCTTATCGGGACACAACATATAACAAAATTGATAATGAACACATCATCATCATTTCGAAAGAGGATAAAATGTATGGGACATTTTACAGACTGTTTTATTTTTTTTGTTCCACTGGGTATATATACTACTTTTATGAATGTAGCAGAAATAATATAGCGAGAGACTTTTCTAACTTAATGTCTACTTTATTTCATTTATATCATTTTTGTTATTAATTTTAGACGTTCGAATCTTGATTCAATTGATAGAACTATAAATCGTCAAAATTCTCATATTCATATCAGTACTAGATCTCCTTTAGGTTCACCAAAACGATCTCAATCACATGTATTTGTATCAAATGGTCGGTTAAATAAATCCGGTGTTTCTAAACCACCTAGATTTGTAAGCTACAGGAGTCCACTGGAATCTGTTGGGAAGTCACTTAAAGGTAAGCATTTTTTAATTATAATCAATAATATCATTGAATGGTTCTATCACATATAATCGTTTCCACGTCAACTTTTACTGAAAATGTTTTGTCAAAGTTGTTAGTGAATTTTCAAATACAATGTAAAAGAAGTTTATATTTTAGATTATTTTAAATGTCTGTTGACACCCATCTATCTGCACCACGGTATCCACATATTGTCTTGTAAATTCCTATCTTCATCCCTAGTTACGGACAAATTTGTCCCATAACTCCTGTCAAAGTATTGTCAGCATCTACAGGTGTTTATGTTACCGAATGAATTCAATTTACAAGAAAGATTTCTTTATCAAAATTCTATTGTTTCCCAAGTTGGTTGGAATGTCATTTTATGTATATTCCCTTCACTTTTCTGTTGGAATTAAAAGATGATATAATATTCAGTTTACTGTTTATGCATACTCAAAAGAAATTTCCTTTTTTAGAGATAGTATTTAAGGGACAGGAGTGAAAATAAAGACTAAACAGCAAGACTATAATTTATGGACGAACTAATCAGATTTACGATAAGAGGTCTCGGATTTTGGCGCGAAATTCATTTATCCATTTGTTTGGCTAAGTAGTGTTTTGGCATTTTAGGTGATTTCAGTTCGTGATGAGGACTCTAAATCTAATTCCTAACCATAACCATCAACTGTAGTTCACAATGTTAATACTATACACTGCTTTATAACCCTCCATTAGTCCTAGTTAGTAGGTGGACTTTCTCTAGGTCACTTCGGCGTCCTTCAAAGGTTGTCCATAAATTATAATTTCACCGGTGTACAAAATTAAAAAAAAATATCATTCAGATGCACATATATTGCATAGAATTTAGTTCGTGTATTATTTTGTTTTTGAAATAAATGATTCAAACAGTCCTAATTCATTCAAATTATTTCTCATTATGAAATATGTTACGGTTCTTTTTTGAAAGAAAAATAATGTAAATTTAAGTGAAGTTGAATCATGACTAGCAGTTGTATTCAGGACATAGGCTTCTGTTTCTATCTGACTCGTCCGTTCGGTGTGTCCGCCACATATCGGTGTTGTTGTTCACACTGGAGTTCCAGTTCATTATATTTTTGTTTCAAGCATTCAATGTGTTATCCCCTGAGTCTAGATAGCTACTGGCTTATGTAACGGGGATGCATTTTGTTATTGATTTGTGTTTAAACTCTGAAATGGAAGTACATCCAGCTGACTCGTTTAGATAGTACACATTAGATTTAATTGTTAACCGCTATTCATGTTTACTTATATATTTATAACTTAATAACAGTATCATGATATCACATACAGGATGTACCTAAACCAAAACAGATTGACCAAGTATCAGTCACGAATACAAACAATTGGAGGATTCGGACACAAATAAATGAAATCACATTAATCTGAAATATCGTCTTTTTCTTTTATTATTATTGTTATATATACTGTTTTCAATATTCTCCTGTGAAAAATTATTCTTTAGCTAACCATAATCAATCGATGGACCATGATAAGCAGTCGACACGAAACATGACAAACAATATTTCATCTTCCTCTCCGTTATGTAATAACTCATCAAAAGAAGTTAATAGTGATGATGTATTGAATAAACGAGGACGTCGAAAGTCGCGTGCACCTGCTCCACCAATCAAATTATTGGAGAATACTGCTGAAACTACAACGATGATTATGACTTCCACTACTGCTGTTACTACTGTTACTACTACTGCTACTAATACTAATACTACTACCACTACGCTTAAAGCTCCATTAGCAGTTTCCGAATGTGGTATGTTCTATCGTTATCAACTTAATCATATTAATTTATGGAGTTTTTTGGTTGGTTAATAAAAAGATGATATCGATTTCAGAAGAGAAACTGGTATAAGCATTCTATACTAGTGACATTGAACAATTTATCAGCTATTCAGAGCAAATCACAATTAGTTATAGAATGAATTATAATAAAAAGTAATTGGTTTCAACAGGTGAATAGTTTGGACACATGGTTAATGAATGTTTACATATTTATGTGTGTAGTAAGAGAAAAGAAGTTTAGGTTTAAAAGTATTATGAGTAATAGTTGGGTTTAGGAGTTAAGATTAGGGCTTTCATCATGAACCGACATAAGCTATAATGTAAGAATGGTTTGTAAACATATGGATAACTGACGTTTGTGAAAAATATAAGGATCATTTACTTGATTAATTCGTCCGTAAATAAGCGTTCTACGTATAAAAAACTCTTGGCTATGCCCTGAATTATATAGAGTACACTCAAAGATCAATACCCTTTCGGATAAAAAATCTGTACCAGGAACTGGTGTTTCTTGCAATTCGGCTTACACAGAACATCAGATTCATTATGTAGAGCAGCATAACAGTTACGTTTATTGACTTTAAGCATCTTAGAAACTAGATGTAGTTAATTTTTACTCATTTTTTTGTAAGAAATAAGATCCAAGGTATTCGCACCTGGCTTTCGAATTTTGCACACAGACCAAAACGTACTATTCTAAAATCCGATAGGCTCATCAACATTGTATATTTTTACTATAAACCTTACAGGAAGAAAGGCAACTGAGCAAAATAGGAGTAATAAAGAGAGTTGGAGATGGATGAATTAGTGTAACGATAATAATAACTCATTTTCCCATCAACTCCACCATCAGAAATAAATTTAGTATCAGGATGACAGGTTGTCGGTTAAGACAAATTTATTTTTTGAATAATACATGAAAAAAAGTTTATAAAAACTATGTTGTTTTGATGAGTTAGTGTAAAAAGTTTGGGGTTTCCTTACCATTAAATCAATAAATCCAGTAAAAACAAGATGTATGACATCAGTATTATTAGCGGTTAGCGCGATTGAAGTGAACTCTGTGTCACATAAATAACAAACATCTTTCTTGGATAAAAATAGTTTAATAAATAGCATAACAAACAATAGGAATGACAAAGAAATGTAGTTATCATATGAAAAGAGATTACAAGGTTAGTAATATAAATGAATGCTTAAGAAAAATTATAGTGAGACACCTTAAGTTGTTTACTCTCGAATGAATGACAATTTCACAAACTACTGAATATAAGTCAGTAGTATGATGTAATATAGGAAAACGGACAAAAAGATCGAATTAACATACGTAATCAGTTTAGACGACATGCAAAATATCCTTTGTATTATTCAATGTGATGTAAGAGGAACAGAATATTGAATTCGAAATGACTCATAATACTCTCTCTAATTTGCATTCTTTTACAAAGTTCGGAAACATAAAATAGATTATGTGATAAATATAGAAGTTGTGAAGACTTGATGTAAGATTCCCAATCACTTGTACTAAGTGAATGAACAAAGCAATGAATGAGGAGATGATTTTAGTGTACATAAAAATAAGAATTAGTTTGACGAAGGCCATATAACAAAATAAATACTTTTCAAACAATAATGACGATAACAAAAAATAATAATGTACAAGGATGGTGATAAGTTGATTACTATCTATTTCTTGATACATAGATCAGGTTTGAGTTTCTTTATTGACACTGCCTAAGGAAACCGGAATGACACAAAGTTTTCTTGTCTGCTAATAGTTCTGAAGTATTGTGGAATGTTAATAGTATTCCTGGTATCAATAAAATGCTGAGGTATTGAACTGTTTAGAGCCGTTGCATCCCTCTCAGACTCTAGTTCTTTGGAACGTACTTGAAAATGCACAACTGCATTTTTCAATTTACGTGTACATGACAAGGCACATACATTTTAGGAACAGAGAGAAGATTACATGTATTCATTCACAACTAAAAATAATTTGACATTTTTAACTTGACCAATTTTTTTCATATTGATGAATACAAACGTTTTATAATTGTTCTCTTTTAAAGGCAAAGAGTTTGAGGATAATGACGATGATGAATGTTTAGAATCTGTCTATCAAGGTCGTGCACGTGCTGTAACGACATCTTTGCCAGCAAAATCTATGAGGTCAAATATTCCTTGTTTAACAACTTCGCAAGATATTGTCTCTACTTCATTTCGCAATACAATTAATACTGTAAATGGAAGTAATATAGAGAAACCAGTCAAGCCACCACGAAAACTTAATAATAATACATCCTCTTCCACTGAAGCTCTGCATAAATCTGAAAAGAGTATATGTAGTCGGTATTATTCTCCAACTTTAAAAAGTCTTCATCATCCTTCAACTTCACCACTCAAGTTTCCTCATGATATCCCTTCTCAACATCGGGGTATTGTGAAAAATATGATAAGTAAATTTCAGCAGCCTTAAAATCTAGATTTTTGTTCCTCTCACTTGATTTGCTCTCTATCTTGTCATTTATATTTTTTAACTGCAAGAATCCATCGCTTCTTGCTAACTAACTGCCTAACTGATTCTATGCTTACCGGTTTCTACAGATTCTTTTTTATATAATTTACAAAATACTTCTATTCATTTAAGGTAAAACTACTTATAATGAATAAGTAGTTAAAATTATTTAGTGAAATTAATTTACTGATTTTGATTATTACCCTGAAGAAGTCCAGACAAGTTAGCTGGACGAAACGTTGGAATTAGTTATATTTCAATCGCTGAGAATATTTCAAATATAATTTTCACATATAATGACTTCTCTATACTCGGCGCTCAATTACTGTCAAACTATTCGTTCTAATCTTGACGAATATTCGTATAATTTACTGTTTGTTTTTACGTATGCATTTTTGACATAAAAACATTATTCTGATTTGCTTTTGTCAATAATTTTCTGCTTATTTTGATGAATAAAGAAGAGAGAGTTTTGTCTCCTTTTCAAATGGATACATAATTATTATCTACTGTTCAATAATATGTACTTTTTCTTTCGTGTTTATAAGTGTTTTGTTGTGAATTTATTAGTTATTTGTAATTTGTGTTTTCCATTATATTTATTCAGTTTCATTTTCCTTTTTATCCATTTATTACTCAGTTTATGAATCGAATTTTTTGGTTTTTTAGGAGTGGGCTAGGAGAGTTGGTTATCGTAATTGTTCTGTTTATTATTTATCTGTTTCTTTTTTCACTTCTACGTATTTTTTTCTTTTTTTTGAAGTCACAGTTTAGGATTTTCACTATTTTTTTTCTGAATGACTTCTGGAAGAGTTCTTGATATGTTTCCATATAGGATTTAAAAGGAATTTTGTTTATCCATGTGATATTTTATTTATTGATGTAATCATAATATGTTTTGAGAATAAAATATTCCTGAACACTGATTAATAAGATCATTATCACCACCATCATCATCATGATAATTATGTCACTTACAGATAAATAAAATAGGATTATACCCCTTCATTTACTTTCGTTAATTTACGAAAGATTTCCTATACTCTAATGCTTTTTTTCAATATTTAATAAAGAGTATTTGTTAGCTTATTATAAAACGTATTTATATTGTTGTATCTGGGATAATACTTTAACTTACACATGATTTAATAGTTATAGTAATGAGTACATGAGTCTGAATGCGGTGAATGATTTCGGTTATTATTCAGTGTTGTATAAAATTTTATTTTTGCTTTTCATTATGAATCTAACATAACGCTTTGGATATTCTATATATTATTGCTAAGTCAATGAAAAACAATGTAACTGTGAACCAAATAATTAAGTTGTCTATAATATGTGTATTGCTGACTAACTCACTAAAGGAATTAAAAAATAAAGGTATACTAACTCCTGACATACACGACTCACTCAAACCCACTGGATCGAACACACCGTGCCCCCAAATGCCCTGGTACGGCCGATAGTGGGGAGAGTCCGCTCTCCCTCTCGAAATGCTCTCACATGGCCACGCGTATATAACCTCTGCCAGGGAAGTCTTACTCACTGCCTTCTCGTGGTGGGGGTGTTGTTTGCGAAAATGAGAGGACAAGAAGCGAATGTCCAGCGCTTTAACGGGGCCGGTGTACAGGACGAGTCCGCCTAGGGGAGTTGGAAAACCCTTATTCCAAACCAATGATGCACGTGGGCTCCAGTATCCTGCGGGAACAAATGGCGTATGAACCAGTCGTTGGTCATCGACTACCATGGGACTGCATCTTCTCACGGTGCTCCACTGCCTTGTGGATCAGACTTTCAGGTCGAAGGCTCGGGGAGTGGCCGCCTAAGAAAACCACGTGGTTCGGTTTGGGGACCCGGACAGTATCACAACCCTCACACATATCAAATGAGATTCGTGTGGCTCATATGTATTTGTTGCCTCCTCGTACCAATATCTAAGTATTAAAATAAATAAATAATAGAAGAATACACTGCGACTATATGGCTTACCTAAAGTTCACAAGACAGGTCTTCCTCTTCGCCTAGTTCCAAATATGTATAATTCGCCTTATCATAAAACTCCAAAGTGACTAGTTCGAATTCTAAATAATTAAATGTTAACATATGTGACTGATACTGGGTATAGATTAGAATCACGTGAAAAACTTCAATCATCTCCTTAATATGAAGATGCCTTGAATCGCATAACACCTAGATTAGAAGTTTCCGGTTCATTCCTTCCATTCACCTAACAAAAGAAGAATTTGTTCATACTTTTATACTTCTCAAGATCTAAGGAAAATATCATCTAAATAAATATGAATGCAAATGATCTTTAACACTAAGAAGAAAAGAAGCTCTCAGTTTTCATTTAAAACGAAAACTGATTGATAAAGATTGGTTAATTGTTCTTGTGTGGAGATAAAGATCTTTGTAAAAGAACTCAATGCTCTAGTACGTCCAAGAGTGGGGAGAGCCAGCCCTCCCTCTATAAATGCTCTCACATGGGCACACGTATACACCCACTCCCAGGGAAGTCATGCTCGCTGCCTTCTTGCAGCACTACTATTGTTTACGAAATTGAGAGTACGAAAAGTGAATGTCCGGAACTTTAACCGGGTTGACGGATACTGGCGATCCACCTAAGTGAGTTGGAAAACCCTGATTCCAGACCAATGGTGTACTTGAGCTCCGGTATCCTGACGGAACAACTGCTGTATGAACCAATCGTTGGTCATCGCTACCATGGGACTGCATCTCCTTACATTGCTCCACTGCCTTTTGGACCAAACCTTTAAGTCAAACGCTCCGGGTGTGGCCTCTTAAGAAAACCACCTACTTCGGTTTGGGCACCAGGGCAGTCTTCTAGCCCTCTCGCAAATCGAATGATTTATGTGACACATATCTATTTGGTCCCTTCTTGTACCAATGTTTTTATATTTAAATACATAAAATAATCAAAATGGTATAATTGAATATCACAGCACTTTCAAATTAAACTGTTGGTACGTTAATACGAAATCTACCAATGATCTACAACTGTTCATTAAATTATAATGCGCTTGTAGGTATCATTACTAAGATTTGACTTAATAATTCCAAATAAATTGAGTATCGGATAGATTGTTATGTAATCAAAGTAATATATTTGTACTGTCTTAAAAAGTAGGAAAATTTAGCTTTTGAATTTTTTTGACGTTTCGTCACTTAACATTAGCCACTTCTTCAAAGAATAAAAAGTCTCTAAGGAATTGGCTAACACTGAGTCACGGAACAAATATATGATCTATTCAGTAGTTGAGATCATAATTCAATTTAAGCTAGACCAACATGGAAAACCTCAAAGCACTGGACGGTCGTCTCGTCCTACTGTAGGACTCCTCAGCATAGTGGTCTAGCATCAATTGACTCATGATCTCAACTACTGAAATCACTAAAATCTCCACGAAACTCTTTCTGACACTAATTAACAAATGCTCACTAGTGACTGACTTCAAGATGTATATCCTGGAGTTCTAGTAAGAAGTAGTGATCAGTGGGGTTAAGCCGGGTCTGTTGTGAGTTAGTAACTCACTGATTATAATGGTGGGTGTGTCACTGAATTTGGTGGATCATTTGAAATTAGACACTAACACCGTTGGATACCGTCTCAATGGTCTAGTGGTTAAATGCTCGTGCGTGAGACCAGTAGGTCATGGGTTCGAATCTCGAGGGGTGAGGTCGTGGGTACGCACTACTGAGGAGTGCCACGATAGGACGAGACAACCATCCAGTGCTTCTGGGTTTTCCATATTTGTCTAGCTTCAATTGACTCATGATCTGAACTACTGAATTTACTAAAATCTCCACAAAACCCTTTCTGATATAATCTTTTTTAATTATACAGGACACAACTGAATTAACATTAATAAACGATTGTTTCATTATATCTGTAATTCTATCTAACTAATCCCTATTCAGTTTTATCGATCAATACAATAATCATCTTATTTTGAAAATGAAGTGGATCTGTTTTGTTTCTTTTCTTCATGATTTCTTTTCTCTTTTTTTTCTGTCAATATAAATGAAATTATTATGTAACATGATAAGATTTCTTTATTGTCTTTTTGTTTTTTTCTGTTACTTTTGTAATAATTTCTCATACAAAACACTTCATTTGAACAAGTAATGAACAGGAAATGAATAAAAATTAGTTTAACCAATAATGTTTTAAAACAACAACGAAAAAAAGAACAATTTTCGATGATACTTGTCAAAAGAATGGAGATCTATTGAAGATTGTGGTAATTCTAATAGTTGAATTCATAAGGTGTGTTTTTTTTTGGATGGAGTTTTGTTCTTTGAGCTTGATGATTTGGTCGTGGAGCTTTCATCGTTCTTCTGAATGATATTATCAGTATAAACTTCAGATAGACAATGTCATTCAAAAGAACAATGAAAGGTCCACGACCAAATCATCCAGCTCGAAGAACAAAACTCCATCAAAATTATCTACCTGAACTACAAATCCTCCTCCTCCTCCTACTCTTCATTATCATCTCAAAATCATATGAGTTTTGTGTCTTGATGATTTTAGTATTAAAGTTATGGTGAACTAATGATAACCAACATTAGGAGATTGATTGATAGATTTTCATATTCAAACTTGTATATGAATATTTAAGCAGGAAATTGGATTTAAAAAAAAATCTCAACTACTGAAATTAAGTAGACTGAAACTTCTTACTGAACAGTCTAGTTCGAGCTACTTCAATTAACAGAAATTCACTGTTTGTACCAGACAAATCATTCAATTATCTTGTTAATAATCTAACTAAAAATTTCGCATCAAAAGAATTACATCCACACTATCGACAAACTTCATATTCAACATTATCAACATAACTGGAGGATTTAGGTATATAAAATGAAAAGTGAGACTATAATCTATGGACGATGTTTAAGCGAAGCTACAGTGACCTTGAAAATGTCCACCTACTAAC